ATCACGACGAATAATTTTTAATCGTGACTCCGATTTCTTCCGACTTCTTCTTCTTCTTCAATCCCGTTGTTGACGACGTTGTTGAATATTATTGAAAATTTTTCTCATCGCATTTTCTACGCGTTATACTCCTTATCACGAGACCGGTAATTCGCTTCTGGTGGCCAGACCGCAACTGGTGGAAGTGGCGGCGATAGTAATCGTTTCATTAAGTCCATACCTCCACTTATGTTGTCGGCCAGCTTGTTGACAGAGGTGATGTGTACAATAAACGAAACAGTTGTCGTTACTTATAATTTTTATCCACGTGACCGGTAAAAATAGTAAAATTTTCCTGCGCGTTAACAATATCGGTATGTAACATTATCTTTACTTTTAATATAATATAAATTATACACAACATCGTGCAAAATAAATAAATAATAGGTATTTGAAATCGTTTACAAATTACAAAAGTAAATTTCCTTTTAATCGTGAAAAAATAAATATTTCCAATTTAAGTTACTGTATCGTTCCTCGTTCGAAATTGGAATAAAGCTCGAAGGGAAGGCACGATTTTAAGGCGGTTATCGAAACCGCTATTGTTATCGGTGTCGTTGATAATAAAGCCACCGATGTAACGTACTGCATACTCAGCTAGAATTTTAAATGCTCTTTGGCTGTGCAATAGTCGTTCACCTGGTCGGTTCAATAACCCTTTTCCTAATAAAAAACTGAGGAAGAGGCAGATATATATATATACATATACGCAAGTGCAGATAGGTATATAATATTCCTCGCGAAGTAAAAGATTAAAACGAAAGTATACACGGTATGAAAATATCTCTGTCCATTTCATTGGAAATTTATTTTTCGAACGAGGAAATGATCTTAAATAGTTAATCCACTGTTCCCATATTTTCCATTCTGTACATTTTATTTCGTTAAAATTATCAAAAGATAACTTTTCGAAATTCTAAATACATTTAGAATTCCAAATTATTTTAAAAACTTTCCTTTTTTTAAAAAATCCTTTTATCTATTTTTGCAACGCGAACAAAGAATATTTATTATCAAACTTTTAGCGAATGGAATCGAGTTTGATCGATTCTTCGTCGCGGGGAAGATACAGTCGCCATAGGAACGGGAACTTCCATTTATGGCCGATGTCGCGGCAAAAATTGCAGCGTATTTTCACCGTCGAGGTTATGCTTTGCGGTTCCGCGGTTCTACGCGCTTATTCGCGACACGATTGAATCCCCCGAATACCAAAAATGATCGAAACGCCGTGCACATGCGAGAAAAAGAAGGACATCGAGAAGGAGGAACGAACCGATGAGATTTATCGGACGTGCAATCTTCCGACACGATTTATGTATCCTCGTAAGTGTGTGTGTAATTTATTAACATGACATTTTTCATATTTTTAACGAGTTACATGATCTTAATTATATACCTTGATCGAATCTCGACGACAGATCGGTCGATAAGTGTATGTATAACGTGTATTTTTCTTTCTTTCTTTCCTTCTTTCTTTTTTTCCTTTTTCTTTTTCTCTTTTTCGAGGAAAGGATTCCGCTCGAATGTTTTATGCAGTTCGTCGAATCGGTTCGCAGATTGATTTCGCGTGTAAAGTGTATACGACAAGAAATTCCTCGTATAGCTGAAACGATAACGTTCTGCTATTAATAAGTCGGTATTGACGATCGTCGAAGCTTATCGGGGGAATACGTACATTTTTGCACATGTCACTGAAACCTTTTCACAAGATAGGACTTGTTTGAACCACGTACGTACCACGTGTGGCATTTTCGTTCGTTAAATCGGATGTGCGATCTTTCAGTAAACAGATCGACTTGCTTTCTTGATTGAGAAACGAAAGAATGATTTCACATACGTGTCGAAATATCTACGCCGTGAATTTGTATTGGGTTTCGTACACGTAGTTCATGACTGCGGAAAGTATTTATATATATATTGTTGTATCTAACACGAAATATATTGTCGTAAATATACAACGCGAATATGCATTTTTCACATATGACTAAGACGATATTAAAAATGAAAATGCGGAAGATAACGGAAGCATTTTTTTTGTATCGTATTCGTATAAAAGATACGAATCGTCAAATTAACGAACGCCACATTCCAATTTCTATCGTCTCGAGAAATACTGCAATGGTAATCCAGTTAAAGAAAAATAACTTGACTGCCTCGAATCGCGAGATCAGATCGCGAAACGTTTGGTCCATAAAAATGCAGACATGGGAACAGATGCCTCGTCTCGCTAAAAAAAGAAGAAATAATTTCACGGAAATGATGAATTTTTAATATCGATACGAAGAAACTGGCTGACTTTTGGGTGGCGCTCAATCGTTTGATCTCTCGTTAAAATTGAATCGATTCAAGATGAAAACACGGTTAACGTCAAATCAACCGTAATCGACGATCGACAGAAGAGAAAGGAACTACTGTTCGATCGAAACAGTAGAGGGAATTGCGCGTTTAAAAAAAACGAAGGAAACGTGGAATTTGCAGAGAAATTGTAGGTGGAGTTGTAATACGTACACGCTGTATATACGGATGATATATTTATCGAATGGTATCTGAGCAACGGTGACCGTTTCAGTTTGTTCCGTTGGCTGCACATCGAGACGCGATCCCTCGTTCAGTAAGCATCCAGCATCTCTCTGCGTACCATGTGCTGCTTCCTCTTGCTCGTTTATCTCTTCTTATCGGTCACCGCTCGAGACGTCAGCGCGGAGGAAGCGGACTGCCAAGTTTATAATCATCTTTACGTTTGCCTGGGCAACAGCGTGCTGCACAGCGTCGCGTTCGAGGATGTGAACGCGGTGCAAACGATCGAGGATATAGAGCTTCATCTCGAGGGCCTCGGGATCCAGGATATCGCCAAGGACGCTTTCCTCGAAGTGGCCAACTCGTCCGCCCTCTACATTCGCGACAATCAATTGTCCAAGATTTTTAAACACTACTTCGCCGATTTGGACCAATTGACGTATCTCGATTTGAAGAACAACAGCATAAGGGACATAGAGGATGGCTCGTTCGCCAATTTGGACAGTTTGGAGACGCTGATATTGGATTACAATAACATGATCGCTTTCCGCCCCGGTATGTGGAAAGGTCTGGTGGATCTCCACGAATTGTACGCAACGAATAATAAAATCGCGTTGAGGAGGAACATGTTCAAAGGTCTGAGACACTTGGAGACTTTGGCGTTGGATTGTAACGAGATCAACGAGATACCGATCGGCGCGTTCAACGGGCTGCCCCATATCGATCTTCTTTATCTGTCGAGAAATAAAATCTCGTCCCTGCAATTGGAGGTGTTTCGCGGATTAAGCGAGATCAACGAATTGGATCTGGGGCGAAATTCGTTGAGAAGCGTGTCCGGTGGAATATTTCGTTATCTCAGGAATCTAAATTCATTGTGGCTGAACGGGAATCAGATCGTCATGATTAAGGCGGACACTTTCGAGGGGCTGGACAATCTGTTGCTCCTGTTCTTGAACAGCAACAACCTCCGTTTCGTGGACATGTCCGCTTTCGCCAGGATGAAGAATGTTACCGTCGATCCCGGCTTCAAGATAGCCGGGAGGACGATGGACAATGTTTCAAACGTGCAAGGACGATTCCGTTGTAACAACGTCGCGTATCAGTTGCCGTACGAGTGCACGGAGATTGGACCTCAGGTTCATTGATGCATAAATTACCTGGAGTATAACCAGTGCCGGTTTGATATAGAAAACGCGTTGTCCATTGTTTGTATAATGTTTGTTTGAGAATTCCAAATCAGTGACCATCTTTTTTCTCTAGGTTTTTCTTTTCTTTTTTTTCATTAATTTTATTTTATTATAATTCCATGCGGGTCACGCGAATATACACATGTGAATATACCGATTTCCTTTCTTCTTACAATGTACGATGTGAGTTTTCTTTAAAAAAAGTGCTTTTAAAGAGTTGTTTAGAGAATTGAGAGAATTTTCCATTTCTCAATTCGTTTCACAATTATTTTTTTTTTTTTTTTTTTTAAAAGATTTTCTATCATCGCTTCAATTTTT